CGCTCTTGTCCCCGTGAGACTCCCACTCAGATGCAGCCTTCACTTCCATGCAAACACACGGCTGTCTGAAGAATGCAGCGGGGGACAGTGACAATGAGGTCGCCAAATATTGACTTCTGTCCAGTGGAGAGCTCATGCTTTTAGAAATATGAGGAAAGTGACGTCAGATCAGAGGGGCTGCTTCTGGAACATCAATTACTGTGACAGAGATCACCACTGACAAATAACCAATGATCAAAGTTAGAACTTATTGATAGTAATTAGAAAAATTGAAAAAGAATTTAATAATAAAAGAATCAAATCCTCTTTGACGCACACCCAATATATTTCGAGGGATATCTAGCTGTGATAAAATCGATGTGACTATAAAATAAATAATCATAGTTCTTAATAAAAGTAATGATAAAAAAAAAAAAATCAAGAATCATCTCAAAGATTCAAACTGAGAACAAAGAATCAAATCGTTTTGCATCTAGTCACACAAAGATGGATGGTTATTTTGGTGCCTTTCATGCTTAGTCTATTTTTAAAGAACAAAAATGTATTAATTTATTTACTGTAAAATTTGATTCAAAGATTCAATTCTGAAAAAAATGAAACGGCTGGTGGAATTTATTTCATTTTATATGCTGAAGTGATGAATTATAAAGTAAATTTATATACTTTGTAATAATAATTGTTATAAAAAAAGCAAAAATTGAACTGAATTAAAAAATGAGTCAAGAGTCAACTATAAAGTTAACAGTCATACATGTTTAAGGTAAACACGGAATCTCCAAGACTCAATTCAATAACAAATTACTGAAAAAAACAAACAAAAAAAATGGAATCAAAGATTCTATTCTGAAAAATCAAGGTATCAAGACACCACCGGGGATGGTAGAATTCACTTCATGTTATATGTAGCAGTGATGAAATCACTGCATGTTTATACAGTAATTACACCTATTTGCAATATTAATTGTAGAAAAAAATTCAAAAATGTAACTGTATAAAACAAATAAAAATAATCAAATGTAGGCCTATATTTGATTCATTCTGTATCCTAACTGTAAAAATCAAATCATATTTATCAACACACCACTAGACCTGGTTTATTTCATGTTAAATGTAGCAGTGATGCAATAACTGTACATTAAATAGGCTAATTACACTAATTAGTAAAAAAAAAATTAAACATTAAAAATGTAACTGAATTAAAAAAAAAACGAATCAAAGAATCACATGTTTTTTTTATCCATACACAGTCAGGGCTGGTGGAAATTGTCAGAGTCTAAAGTCTAGCTGTGATGAAATCAATGTACGATTATAAAGTTGTTGTACTCATTTACTGTAAACACTGAGTCTTAAAAGAGTCGAATATAAACGAAGAATCAAATCCTTTTGTATCTAGATAAACAAAGAAGGCTGGTTATTTTTGGCGCCTTTTATGTCCCTTTCAAATATATCTATAATCTGATTATAACTGCATTTATTGTATTTATGAACTGCGAAAGTCGAATCAAAGAATCGATGTCAAAGAATCAAATCGATCCAATGACTCGAATCTTTATCTATAGATGGCTGGTAGCTTTTAGTGTACGGAATTTCATGGTCAAGAAACCACTGTACAGTTATACAGTTAATAATTCTACACATTAACTGTAGCCTATATATATATATATATATATATATATATATATCAAATAACAAATTACAGCTAAAATTATAATCAAGTACTTTACATGTGCTTTAATATGTTAGTCAACACATCAAAATAAATGTACATGGTCAAGAAACCACTGTACAGTTATACAGTTAATAATTCTACACATTAACTGTAGCCTATATATATATATATATATATATATATATATATATCAAATAACAAATTCATTCAGATTAACAGAATCAAATCTATAGATGCACGACCAGCCAGGGCTGAAAATGTTCTCCATGATTTCAGCCTTTTTCGCTACATTCAAGCGGTTCTGGCATTGCGAGATGATATCAAGCATAAGTAAAATATGAAATGCATGTTGTTGGTAGAAAACCGGCGCAAACAGGTGCTCTCCAGCTCACAAATCCTCTGAGAGGAAGAGGCCACAGGCTTTATCTAGTTGGATTATTTGAGCTCGCGCTGATGGTTTGTGGCGAGGAAATGTCCTGATATGAGACTGGTGGTCAGACATATGCACGCACAGGCAAAATGCAGCACTCATATTTCATGTGTCTCCATCTGCATCTCTACAACTGCCTAAAGATCTTATCTCGTAACTGTCAGTGCAGGAAACGCGATAGTTCTCATGCATAGGACTAGGCATTGGTTAACTGCTACTGGAGCGAAATCAAAGCGCATACGTGTGTAATATCTGCTGGGTTAATTTTTATTTCCTAAATTACACCGAAAGCACGAGATAAGAGATGACTGATGCCTTTCGGAGATTAAATAAATCGGTTGTCTGGCTAAAACAGCATCTTGAAGTCTGCTCTGCCATCTACAGGCAAGAAAAGGATTGAACCTTAAAATCAATGTACTAAAAATAAACTGTATTTCTTTCCCATTGAGAAATTGAGCTGGTTCCTTACCCAAATGGGAAGAAAATATTACAACACCGTCGCTTAGTACATTGGTTTTGATAATAACCAAGAATGAAATGAGTAATAACCAGAATAGGAGATATGAAGGGATTTTTGTGACAAAGATCCCTACAGATTAGATACACGCTACTTGAAAACTAGGTAACACATTACAGCAAGGTTTCATTTGTTGTTAAAAGCATTAGTTAATATAAACTAACAATGAACAATACTTTTGCAAAATGTATTCATTTTTCAATTTATAAATACATTTTTAAAATCAAAAGATGTCTGTTAACATTAGAACTAACATTAACAAACATGTTTAAATGCTGTAAAAATATTGCTCAGTGTTAGTTCATGCATTATTAAATGAAACGGTTTTAAAGTGTTGCCCCAAAATACAGGTATTTAACAACTTATTATATAAAGATGAATTAATACTTTTTAACACGGCAACCTGTTCAAGCTGCATTTACACACACTTAACATTTAAAAGTTTGGGGTTGGTAAGATTTTTTTTAATGCTTTTGAAAGAAGTCTCTCAAGATGCTCACCAAGGCTGTATTTATTTGATCAAAAATACAGTAAAAATACTGATATTGTGAAATATTACTACAGTTTAAAGTAACTTTTTATTTTGAATATATTTTAAAACGTAATTGATTCCTGTGATCAAAGCTGAATTTTCAGCATCATAACTCCAGTCTTCAGTGTCACATGATCTTTCAGAAATAATTCTAATATGCTGATTTGCTGCACAAGAAACATTATTATTATCGATGTTGAAAACAGGATCATATGATGAATAGAACGTTTTTTTTGTAATGTTATAAATGTCTTTACTGTCACTTTTGATCAATTTAATGCATCCTTGCACTACTTTCTTAAAAAAAAAAAAAACTAGTAGTCTAGAGTCATACTCTAGTAGTCTAGCGTATGTTACTTGAAGGGTTACGTCTTGGTTAACCAGCGCAGAGCGTTAACCACGACACCACCTGGAAACCGAAAACACACAAAAACACAATTTATAAGGTAAAAAGTTAATGGTTTAAAAAGACGAATGTTTATTTCACTGTAGAATAGAGAAAAAACAATTCATCCACTTTTGATTTGATGCAAAACTTCAATATGAAACGTCTCCCTGATCCAACATGGCAACCTCTGTATGTTATGCTGCATTCAGGTCACGCCATAATTACACATTTTCCACTTGTAAGATCCATTCATGTATTTTTCCAACTCTTAATTGTAAATGACAAACTCTTAATTTTATGAAAGCTCTGATTTCTCTCATCAATGTGCATGATTAAACCAAAATGGCAGCAGTTTGAACAGTTAAAAGTAAACTAGGTTTTAATGTCAACACCATATTCACTGGCGTTACCTTGTGCGCTTTTGTTGTCATTTCCAACAAACTTTCCCCATGGATGAGCACTGGAATTGAAAACTGAAACATTTCTGAGTTTTATAATTATTATAATTACAGTAATTCCAACACAACATGAACAAAGCATTAGTTGGATAAAGAAACAGGAAATCAACCAAACAAAGTTCATTTGAACTTGATGATAGATCTCAGTCAAGGTAGTGCCATATTTCATTTTAAAAGGAAAGAAAACAGCGCTGCGAGGAATAGAAATACAGCATGTTCAATGGATTGTTTAACAACATACTGACTGTCCAGCTGACAAAATGTCTTACCGAAGAACATTTTCAGTAGAAAAAACTCAATAAAACGGCTGTAAAGTTGTGAAAATTACTGTAAAAAAATGACTGTGACTTTAACGGTAAAAGACTGTAAAAATGCAACAGTAAAAACCTGTTAAATGATTAACGGTAAATTCCCCTACTATATACGGTGATAAACTGTATTGGACATAACATGTAATTTAACAGTAGTATACCATTTTTGGAAGTGAAAAAGATTGTATAATTTACAGTGAATAACTGTAAATTGACATTCCCAGAATTCCCTGCGATACATTTCAAATTTGCTGTTTTTTTTTTTATTGAAATAACTATGTTTCTTCTTAGTTTTTTTCTGATCAGTTTTGTATATTAGGGTTGTGTTAACACCTAACGTTGTTAAATTAATGTTTATTGCATTATTTCAGTTTCATGTGTGTTACCGTGATGGTGTTTAGTGTTTGTGTGAATGACACTGTGCACCTTCTATATATGTTATTTATATATTGCTTGTGATGGGCTTTGGTTCATCTTGACTTTCTCATCACCACCTGCATTTGGTGGTTATCAGTCTATTACAAAGGTACAAAACAGATTTCAGTACTTCAATAGGTTGGTATATTAACATTATATCAGTTAATGAAATGAAGGTATTTAACTGCAAATTTAAGTTAAAACGTAAAACCTAAAATGTTGCTACCGTATTTTTTATGGTAAAATTCCGGCAACCACAGCTGCCAGTTTTTTTACCGTAAATTTTACGGAATTTTTTTTTTACAGTGTAGGACCATTATTCAGTGAGTGCCATTGTAAAAGTGCAAGTCCATTCCTCACAGCCTCGTTTCCATCCGTGTTAAATTCAATATGGCGTTTAAAGTCTGTATCACAGTGAAACTTGTTATTCACATAACGAATCACTGATGTCCACCGTATTAGAGTCTGAAAATAAATGGTTTGGAGACAGATGGTACTTGTTAGCCTCTTGGTCCTGTGTTGAAATCGACAGAGGGAGACTTTGAACAAGAATGGTTTCTGGTAGACCCATATCTAAACTATCTTCAGCATTCTCTGCGTGCTTAGACACATCCTGAGACGAGGAACCATCAATGTTCATGGGTTCTTTTGTGGTGGAAATTGTCGGATTCACCTCCGTTACCACTGTAACCTCAGTCCCGCCTTCCTGGATGAGCTTGTGGAGGCTTTCCAGGTCAGAACAGGACGTTATGAAGGTGTGCGTGCCGTCAGAAGCGGATGCAGAACAGGAGGCGATGAAGTTTTGAGTACCGGTTTGAGAGGTGGTTTCACTGGAGTCGATTTGAGCGAGTAAAACCGTCTGGTGCTCGAGGCCGGACTCTGGTGCTAGCATGTTGACATGCTGTATTACGGGGTTCAAAAGCACACCGTGATCCTCCGGACCGAGCAGAACGGCTTCAGCCTTTCCAGCAGAAGCTTGGACAAAAGTAGCCTCCGGTCCTATAGAGGGCGCCATGATGATCTTAAGATGCGTCGTGCTGTACGAAGACGTCGTGTTGGCTGCGACGGAGGTTACAGTTTGACTTTGTTGTTGCACGTCACTGTTATGCTGCCTCTTGTGGCTGCGAAGAGAATCCTCCCTGACAAACGAAGCCTCGCATAAGTCGCAGCGAAACGCCCGTGCCGCTTCCAGTCTCGCTCGATAACGCGAGCTAAGAGGTTTGGGCGGCTCCTCCCCCGTCCCACTTCCTCGTCTGGACTTACCTTGCCTATCCGGTTTATCCGCGTGAAACTTCCTCCTGTGAATTAACAAATTACTCCGCTGCTTACTAGCAAACGAACAGTGTTCGCATTTAAAAGGCCGTTCATCCGAGTGCACACGCTCGTGGATTTTGAGCGCCCCCTTGCTGGAGCAGGAGTAACTGCACTCACTGCACTGCAGTGGCTGGGCCGGCTGGTGCTGGCGGGAATGGTGTCGCAGGGCGGCTTTGGTGGAGCACTGGAAGTCACATTTCGAGCAGCGGAAGGAGTCGGAGGCGCTGTGTTTCAGTTGCACGTGGGATTTTAAATTGGCCTTCATGGCACAGCGGTACTCGCAGAGTTCACACTTATAAGGCTTCTCGCCGGAGTGAACCCGACTGTGGCGCTTCAGGTCGGAGTTGATCTTGAATTTGGCATCGCATTGATTGCACTGGAACGGGGCGTCACCTGAGGAAACATCCAGGTATGTGAAGTCAATATATCACAGTTTCCACAACTTGTTCTGCTTGATCACAAAAAGCAACACTGTTCTAATGATGCTGTTCAACAATTTAGGATTTGTTAGCAACATACTTATCAAGTAAATACACTGATGTACAATTATATTTTGACACTTTTTAATTTCGTCATTTTCTGGGCAAAGCGCACGTACTTGTTTAACTGGTTGCATGTGTTCTTAATTTTCATAACATGGGAAAGATGAGCTGTTTGGCTTTGATAACTAAAAACAGGAAAACCAGTTTTATCGTATTCATCTTTTGGCAGTTTCACAAGCATTAGTGTAAATTCTCAAAAATTATTGGTGCCAGGAAATTCTTTGTGGCTGAAAACAGTAACAACAACAACAAAAAATAACAAGTAGAAAAACACTTGATTTTTGTGCTTTTAAAAAAGATTTTAGTTGGTATCTATTGTTTGTTATTAGAATTGTTATTATTAATCAGAGTTTTCTATATACAAAGGAAGAAATAAATAAAAATGATGCATGATAGCATGATATATATATATATATAACACATACATACACATACACACACACACACACACACTTGAAAAGTTTGGGTTGGTATAACTTCTCTTATGCTATTTCTAATGTTTTATATTTGAATATACTGTAAAATGTAATATAGGCCTATTCATTCATGCGATTCAAAGCGGAATTTTCAGCATCATTACTCCTGTCTTTAGCGTCACATGATCTTTCAGAAATCATTCTATTAATATTTCTGAGTGGTTTTTAAGGCTTGATTTTTTAATGGAATCTCCCTGAATAAATCATGTAAAATCTCCTAAATTAATTAATCTATGACAATGTATTTAATATAATTAGTGAAATGTACTCATTTATTTTAAGCTGATTCTCAAAAGTCTGTGATTTTGAGTGAGGCCTGTTTGTATTTGACTTTGAGTTATTTTGTACATTTAAAAGACTGTATACAGCCAAACAGCTCAAGCAGGAAAATATGCTCATTGAACAAGGCTTAATGCCTTAGAGGAGTAGTAGCCATAACCATAAGCTCTACTCTTCTGCACAATGGCAACGATCGCACTGTGCAATGGAAACTTCAACGTAACAGAAACTCTTTCAAATGTCAAACATAACTGAACATTAAACATTAATAGATGTTTCCCTTCACTCAAAAACACATAAAATAGCATTTCATTTTAAAATGTACTCTCCATATCCAGCCATATGTAAAGCATGCTGGGAACTAACAATCACCTCTAAAATAAAATGGCAAAATTGAGCTAATTCTCTTAAAATAAATAGGTAGCCTTCTTTCCTTCATTTTTTTAGTTTAATCAGTTCCTCAATTCAAGCCTCAAAACTGCTCAAGTTTCCTTTAAAAAAATGAGGAAAACACATCTCTTGGTTTTATTAGTAAAAAGTCCTCAATATTTTCTATACAACACTGAACCACAATTTCTTTAATGAAATATACACATTATTTTTAATTATCACCTTAATTTCTTTGATGAAAATTACAAGACCCAAGATCCATTTTTTTACAGTGAAATTTTAATGCTTCCGTGCTCTCTCGCAAAACCTTTGGGTTTTTTGAGTTGCTTGTGGAAACGCAATACTTTTTCAGGTGTTTCAGTTTTCAGGTGAATGCTATACTTTTGCAAGAGAATGCAAAGTTTTTCGGTGGAATGCAACATGCATAAGAGAACACATAAGCAATTTTTCTTTGCATCTAATATTTTTATAAAGACTTAACTGTCTCTTTTGATCAGTTCAATGCATCCTTCCTTAATAAAAATGTTACTTCCTTTCAAAATATCTCACTGACCCCAAACGTCTGACATATTTCAGAACATTATCTACATCCTTGGAAACACACCGTGTCTATGACGCTGTGCTCACCTGTGTGAGATCGGAGGTGAACGGTCAGCTGGCTGGAGTTGCGGCTGGCGTAGGGGCATATCTGACACTTAAAGGGTCTCTCATCATAGTGGATGCGAAGATGCTTCTTCAGGCTACTGCTGTCGGCCGCCGCGTATGGACAGTACTTACACTTGTGTGGTTTCTCTCCCGTGTGCAAACGGCTGTGGAGATTCAGCTTATCGCGACGACTAAAGCGTTTATGGCAGAGTTCACATTCGAAAGGCCTCTCACCTGAACAAAGGAGTCAGAGATCAGCACTTTAAAGTTCACTTGGCATCATTTGATAATGATAAAGCGTAAGGTGCAACACAGAGATTAAATGACTTACCAGTATGTGTTAAAATATGTCTCTCCATGTCTTTTTGGCCATACTGAGTTTTGAATGTACAACCTAAAGGCACAAAATTAAACGAAACATCTTTTAAGCTCCAAACAGTGTAGATATTTCACTTTCAATACCTTAAAAGTAAATATATGAATATAAGAAATGCAATGTTGTGTTGCTGACACTAACCTGAGAATGTGCATGTGTGTCTTTTTTGACTTAGTGCAGGTTTCAGCTTTTTAGAGGGGGTTTTCTGAGCTTTGGTCAGGGGCTTTTTGACTTTAGGTACACATGTCTGAAAGGACTCTGAAAAAATAAAAACACTTTTTGTCATTAGTAAACAGCAAAGTCTGCTATATGAAGGATCATTATAAACTTGAGTGCTTATAATGACCCATTATAACATGAGTACTTGGACATTAGATTCACCACTGGGTCCAGCGCTTCGGGCTGATATATGAGTCGATGGGATCTGGCTGCAGTTTTGCTTGTGTGCAAAAAAGTGGTCAACGTTGTTGTACTGCTGTTTGCAGAAGCCACAGATGTGGATGTCAGGACTCACTTCTAGTAACAGGTGGTTGACTACTGTGAGGAGATATATATATATATATATAGGGAAAAAAAAAACAAAGAGTATTCAATAAATACATTTCATATATAAATGATCTATCTATCTATCTATCTGTATCTGTCTGTATATAAATGAAATACATATATTATATGTAAATGTGAAATTAAAATAACAAATCTTTAAGTGCGGATATTTCACTTTTTACACCAAGCAATAAATGTGTATGTATGTATATTATATATTATTACAACTTTGAATGCTTTGTATTATTATTAAGTACAGGTGCATCTAAAAAAAAAAAAAGAATAGCCTGAAAAAGCTCTAATCATCAAAATTAAAACAAAAAAACGTTTGAAATGTTTTACTTTAATGTAATGAATCTAAAATATATGAAAGTTTCACTTTTTGAAATAAGTTACAAAAAATGAACTTTTTCACGATATTCAAATTTTTTGAGATGCACCTGTGTGTGTATATATATATATATATATATATACAGTGCACAGCATAAATGAGTACACCCCCTCTAAAACTTAAATTCAGCAATTACTCTTTACTTAGAAGACATGTTAGGGTTCTTTGGAGATGTAATGTTCCAACAAGCCTGCTTGATCAATTACCAAAGAAGAATGCATATATATATATATATATATATATATATATGCAAAATTGTAAGATATATCAGAAACATTAAATAGGCTTATATCAAATTGTAACATGAACTTTCAATGTCTGTAGAGCAATAAATACAACAATAAATACAATTGTTAAACATTATTAGTATTATATACTAAAAGGGACTTCAATTCTTTAATCTATCTACTTAATAGCGTCAATATTTGAATCATGGTTGTGATTATTTACCTGTGTTGCACAGGAATTTCTTTTCAAATCTGTTCTAAACAGTGTTTTTGTGAGATTTTGCACATATAGGTGATATCTTTATGTACCTTCTCCGTTGAACGTTGCCATGTGGATCAAGATGCCCGCTGAGAGTCGACCCGTGAAGTATCTGACAACTTTAATTCGCGTTGTTGTTCTGTGTCCCCTTCATTTCGAACGGTTTTCAGCAGAGCTCACGGTTTTGCGACAGTGTGAGCCGCTTGACGGTAAACATCAGTGAAGAGCGCGCAGCAGCGCCTCGCGCGTCAGGAGCGAGTATTTGGCCACAAACAAAGAAACATTGCTGCCAAAAACAGGTAAAGTAGGTGTACATGTTCAATTAAAGCGACTTTTTCATTTTCAATCAACTTTTCCTCAAAACAAGGATTTTTAGCCTTTGAATAATGCTTAAGAAAACAGTTAAACGCACTTACAAGGTGATAAAATTATATTTCCTCGGCACTCAGTGTGTATTTCATTCTTCAGAAGTCCTTCACTTTTTTAGATACCAGGGAAATTCTCATTTAATACACGGAGAGCGTGATATGACAATTAAAGCTGCACGTAATCTGTCATTTATAAGCAATGTAACGTTTGCATCATGTAACGTTTTCGCTTTTTGGGGGGGGTTTATTTTTTATAAAACGATAATTTATAGCATATATAATAATGATATATTAATAGTATGATTATTATTATTGTTGTTTTTAAATAATTTTAACATTTATAATATGTATACATTTTATATTATTTTCATAAAACAATACATATATATTATGTTATAATATATTATTATTATATATATAATGACAATATATTATAAACATTATATAAAACCGTTTCATATAATTTGTTTGATAAACATATAATAAACGTTTCATATCATTACAATTTCTGATATCATGTTCAAAGTTATATCACTTGTTCATTATATTATGTTCAAATTATAGCACTTGTTCATTATAAGGAGCATTATAGTCGTAAACTTGCTGTTATATGTCATGCAGTCAGACAGTGTTGGTGCAGAAGTGACTAAACCTGATGTGTGTCGGTGGGGGAAATGTAGATGAGTGTCTCTGTCAGTTGATTTGAGGCCAGCTGAGCTCGACAGCTGCACACAGCTGCTTAATGGCTGCAGGCTGTCAGAAGACATCTTCGCGCTCAGACATGTGGCGACGACTTTTAATTGTTCACTGTCTCGCAGGATTTTGGCTGCAGTTACATCAGATGAACACACGGGGGCGGCCGAGCTCCATTATTCACCAGAACGAGAGGCAATCTATAGGTAAGTTTGAGCAGCTCTTTGACACTTTGCCAGTCATTATATTATATTATAATTTTATATTATTTTCATAAAACAATACATATATATTATGTTATAATATATTATTATTATATATATAATGACAATATATTATAAACATTATATAAAACCGTTTCATATAATTTGTTTGATAAACATATAATAAACGTTTCATATCATTACAATTTCTAATATATTATTTATACTATATCTGTGATACTAGAATTAGTATTATTTGTATACCAAACATATTACAATTTTGAAAGTACATCAGCAGTATGTAATTTTGTATCATTATTATTGCTGTTGTTTTTAATAATGTTACCATTCTTTGTAATAATTACTAATAAATACATTTTGTTAACATGATTTTGATAAAAATTATATACATTTACATATTGTTACGACTTTAAATGCAGTGTATTATTATTATTACCAATTTATACAATTTAACTCAGAGAATATAACTCTATAATATAACTATATCAGAGAAGTCCACAGGATGTTTAATGTATTCAGGTTTATTAATAAACATGTTCACTGCAGTGGACAAAGATGCATATTTTATTCATTATTATTAGAGTGCGCTGATCTTGAGCTAAAAACAGAACACGAAACAGATTAGAGTCTCACAAAACAAACTCATTCAGAGAGTATATGTGTATCCATCGCCGTTAGCAGACGACATACTGACTACCACATTTATTTCTCTGAGTTATATTCAATAAAATATTTACATATAATTCTTCGTCACCTCAGGCCATTCTGCTCAGGTTGTGGTGTGAGTAATCCCACTCATCATTAATTTTTATTCCCACATGCTGTGATTCAGAGGCAGATCAGATCTGGATTTTCACATATTGAGAAACTGAAGAAATGAAAGGCACTGTCATGAATGTTCTGACACTGTTAGTTAGGATAATGCTTGACCACATTTACCACATCAAACACTGAAAAAATATATCAATGACATTCCTGGTGCTGATGATGACGTCAAATCTCCAGACACAGTTTAGACACGACTAGGGATATGCCGGTATCAAATTCTCATGTTGCGATTAATTGCTAATACTTTTATCACGGTATGCGGTATTATCCGTGATATATCGCATTACCGAATACCGGCACAAGTCTAGACACGACGGATCTTACGTGAGATCTTGACTCAGATCCGCCTTGTCTAAACTTCGTGTTGATCCAAATCTTCTTCTTCTCTTTATTTATTTGCGAACATCTGGTGAACATTAAAATCATATTATATTTTTGATTTGAAAATATCATTTTTTAAATATTATAATAATAATAATAGTAATAATGTTTCTATTAAAATAATATTAATAAATGTATATATTAATAATTACAATAATATTAAAACTATTTAAAAACAACACCAACAACAACACATTTTATTTATACATTTTTAGTGAAATATTTAATATTTTATATCTGTTCATATATCTTGTTTTTATTAAAATAATTGCAATAAATATTTAATAATTGTAATAATATTAAATCTATATTAATGCAACCACAACAATTATACTATTTAAAATTATTATTACTATTATTATTATTATTATTTGGTGAACTTCTGGTGAGCATCTTGTATATTAAAATCATATTATATTTTAAAATTGAAAACATCTGTTTTTATAATTATAATATATAATATATATTGCTTTTATCAAAATAATATTAACCATATTAATTATAATAATGTTGAAACTATTTAAACAACAACAAAATATAATAATAATAATAAGAATAAAAAGTGAATACGCTTTTTAATGCTTTTATTATAAATAATTTGCTATAAATAGTAATAATAATAATAATAATAATAATAAAATCAAATACATAATTTTAATGCTTTATTATTAAAATAAATAATTTGCTATAAAGTTAACAACAACAACAACAATAATAATAATAATAATAATAATAATAATAATAATAATAATAATAATAATTATAATAATAATAATAATAATAATAATAATAATAATAATAATAATAATAATAATAATAATAATAATAATAATAATAATAATAATAATAATAATAATAATAATAATAATAATAATAATAATAATAATAATAATAATAATAATAATAATAATAATAATAATAATAATAATAATAATAATAATAATAATAATAATAATAATAATAATAATAATAATAATAATAATAATAATAATAATAATAATAATAATAATAATAATAATAATAATAATAATAATTTTGACCTGAAATGTACAGCAGTGAGATGTGTGAATATAGCATTGTATGGTAGCTTTGGGACAATATGGGGGTAAATAAATGACAGAAGTTTCATTTTTGTCTGAAGAATGGTGACAAGCTTGTTAAATCTGTTGCCTCAAGTTTTTGGGTTTGTCGTAAGGTACTCAACAAGACATTCTGAAAACCTTAAAGGGGTCATATGATGTTGCTAAAAAGAACATTATTTTGTGTATTTGGTGTGATGAAATGTGTTTATGCGGTTTAAAGTAAAAAAAACACATGATTGTTTGTTACTGTACATTATTGTTACTGTACATTATTGTTTCTCCTCTATGCCCCGCCTTTCTGAAACGCCTCGATTTTTACAAAGCTCATCGGTCTGTCGTGACGTAGATATGTGGGGGCGTGTTAGAACGAGCCGTTTTAGGTAGGCGTGGTTGACTCTTAACTTTTATAAAGAATATCTCTTTGGATTTGAGACTTTAGTCTTTGCAACTTTACAGATCTTCTTTATGCACCAAGAGCTTGTAACACTCCAAAGAGAAAGGAAAGATTGAAATCGCATCATATGACCCCTTTAAGACTGCATTTATTACAACTCATCCTTGAGCAACGACAAACCACTTCTATTGCATTAGCAGAAATACAACAGACGATAATACCGATTTAATCAACGTGCTTTAAATAAATATTTTGCAAGAACTGTGGAGTTCCCCGTGGGACCAGTCTTAATAATCTTTTAACGTTCTTGTAATTCTCAGCCTTCATAATTTCCCAACATCCCATAAACAGATATTATGCCATGCTTACATTATTTGTCAAATGGCCCCGTTTCATCGTTGTTTATGGAAAACGGGGGCAGAGACGGGGCATGTTTCAACATCTCCTCTAATGCTACGACAACACATAAATGCAAAAGTGAGTCAGCATAAAACTCTGGAAGATGAAAGGAAAGATGAACATGAAGACACCTATAAACTAAACGTTTCTGTCTGGGTTTAATCGTCTGAAGATCCACGCCAGGTTTCACTCAGCCTAAGGTTACAGCAACAGTGTCTTGCTAAATAATATCAGTAAAACTGGGACGGATGGAAAGAGAAGAGAGAAATGAGATGTGTATGGCGGGGTGATGTGTTTATGACGTGAGGAGGAACAGGGAAAGACGTTCTGAAGGTCCATGTTTGGTTTGAGCTGCCTGACAAATGATACACAAATGTAGAGTATGAATGGAGTTCAACAGCTGTTATCATTACATCAGATATAACGTCTGGAAAACATCACATCTCTGTGTATTTCATGGCACAAACACACGCTTACTTACATGAAGACAGACCATAGACTTTTTATATAAAGCAAGTGATGACTTTTTTTCCTGCATTTTATTAAAATAATACTAATTTAAAAATAATTTCTTAAATTACAGACACCCCTGAATTTCCCCAAAGGGAGATTTCAGATTTTGGGGAACAATTTTGTCCCTAAACTACAGCTAAGCTATGATAAAGGAAAAAAAATGTTTTAGCAATTTTTTTTTATTTGAATGTTTTTTAATAATAATAATAAAAATAAAATCAATAATCAAACAAGTTATTATAGTGCTTTATTATTATTTCCAGCAATAATAATGCTAGTTTTTTTATTGTTGCGGTTTAA